TTAATGATTGCATTATTTTCCATACAAATAACTGTAAACTTACTTTTGCCCAACCCTGTAACTTTGGAAATGAGTGGAATCTGTAAGACTAAAGACAAAAGGACCCTGGCCAGTTTAGTTCAGCTGTCAGAGCATCAGCCCAGAGACCAGAGAGACCCAGGTTCGGTTCCTGCTAAAGGCACGTACCTCACTGGCAGTTTGTCCCCGGCCCTGGTTGGGTTGTGCGGGTGGCAACCAGTTGATGTGTCTCTCTCACATTGATGTTTCTCTCTCTCTTTTTCCCTCTCTCCCTCCTGCTCTATTTGAAGATAAATGCAAAAATGTCCTTGAGTGAGGATTAAAAAAAAAGGACAAAAGGAACTGCACATAAAATTGTACTTCACTTGATAAAGAGTTTTTCCACAAGGATATGGGTTATCAATTCTGATACTGCAATACATGTGTACTGAAATTTAAGAAATGTATAGTTGATGATGGGGGTCAGGATTCTCATTGATTGAGAGGGAATTTATAGATAAATAAATAAATATTCCAAAATGATTCAAATAGTAATGAATTGGAGTTAGAGAAATCAATATAATGATGGAAACAGTAGTAATTTAACATATATAAAATAAAAAGTAGTTTAGTATTTATAAAATGATCTATAAAATAATTAGAATACACATATATATTTCCTAGCTCTGTCATCTAAGAGAGCCTATAACCAACAGCACCCAGTAGCAATGAGTACACACAGATTTTTTTTGGGGGGACCATTGCCCAGTAGCAGGAAAAAGGCTTCTTGAAGAAATGGTTGATTATAAGACGAGGGCAGAAAATAATAGGTGATTGTGGAGTATCTTGCAGTATATAAAACTAAGGAAGTTCTCACAATAGAAAATGAATAAAAGCAGAAGAAAACCACATTAATTGGGGTGAAGAATACTGAAAGTTACACTGGAGCCAACTGAAAGAGCACCCAATGGGTTAAATTTCAAGATATTTGAGGAATAGAATATCTCAAAGTATAAAATAAAACTGCAAGAATTAATATGGCATATATGATTGAAAAAATAAATAAGTGGAAAGAATAAACAAATCTCCCATGCAAAAGAATTCCAAATAATTTATGTAGATACTCCACTTTTAAGGTTGTATAACATAAGTCCCCACCCTTTGTCTTGGGCTATGCATAGTGACTTTCTTACAAAGATTACATATGGCACAGAAAAAGAGAGAAGAATGGTTAATTTTACAGTGGAGAAACTGGAGAAACACCATGTTAAGCCAGGTGATCTAGTTAACATCAACAGTGATAACTCACACTGAGAGTATATACCCTTAGTGTAATATGATGATCATGGAACTTTACCTCTATGATCTTCCAACCAAAAAACACATAACCCTGTGTAATAACAGTACTAAAAATATTAGTTAGAAAACATTCTACAAAATATCTGACCTGTATTCCTCAAAACTGTTAAGGTCATCAAAAGAAAGAAAAAAAAATGAATGGAAAAAAAAGGAAGGGAGGGAGGGAGGGAGGGAGGGAGGGAGGGAGGAAGGAAGGAAGGAAGGAAGGAAGGAAGGAAGGAAGGAAGGAAGGAAGGAAGGAAGGAGAAGGAAGGAAGGAAGGAAGGAAGGAAGGAAGGAAGGAAGGAAGGAAGGAAGGAAGGAAAAGGAAGAGGAAGGAAGAAAGGAAGGAAAAAAGAGAGAAAGAAGATAAAAAGAAAGGAAGGAAGGAAGGAAGGGAAAAAGGAAGAAAAGGACAGAAAGAAAGAAAGAAGAAAGAATGAGAGAAAGAAAAAAGAAAGAAAGAAAGAAAAAGATCTAAGACACTGTCACAGCAAGAGGGAACCTAGGGAGACATAAGAACTGGTTGTAATGTGGCATTCTGGATGAGATCTTTGAACAGAAAAAAAAAACAAACAAACAACAACAACAGATGAAAACTAAGAAAAACTAAGAAAATTTAAATAAAGGTTTGATATTAATCAATAAAATTGTTTCATATCGATTCATTAATTATAACAAATATAGCATGCTAATGTAAGATGTTAGCAATAGGGGAGTCTATGTGTGATGTGTGGGGTATACAGGAACTCTCTGCGCTTTGTCATAATTCTGTAAATCAGGTACTCTAAAATAAAGTTTGTATTTAAAAACAAAAATCTGTCCCCAAGAGCTAAGAAAAGAACCTCTAAGCATATATAGGGACAGTAAGATTTAAAATATCAAAATAACAACAATTAATTCACTAAATACATTTTACATTGGTTTGTCATGGATTTGAGGAAGTTTTGAGTACATATCTTAGGACAAGTGATAGCAGTCACAGATGTTCAGTAAGTCCTCAATATTTCTCCAATTCACTAACCACTATAGGCAGGTGTTAACATAATCTGGCAGCTGCCAACACCAGAAGGTGTATCCCATGAGTAAAAATAACAAGTACACATTCCCTAACAAATAAAACTACATCATCGACATCAAATGAATTGGCAATTCTCTTTATATTAACAGCAATTGATATTGCCATGTGAAATGGAATTTTTATACCTCTTTTCTTCATCTGGAACCTCAGTCAACAGTGCAAGGCTTCCTGGAATAGGAAATAAGAGTAGACATTTATTTATATACATGATTTATATAACTATTCTCTTGTTTTATGTAGGATTCTTTGGAACATTTGTTGGGTTTGTATGGCTAAGAGGCTAATGAATGTTTTTTTTTTTTTCTTATGTGTGTTCTTTGCTACAGGAAGAGAATGTTTATGTGAGATAAAAGTTCAAGGCCATATAAAAATGTGAGGAAGTTCTTATAGTTAAGCTTCTATTTGTCTGTTTTTTTCTTATTCTTTGTAAAATCATTTTAGGGAAGGACTAAGACTGAGAATATTTTTTGTATTGCACTTGGGAAAGTTTGCTGTTTATAAAATGGAGGTTCACTTCCTTTTCTATTCATATAATGAAAACTAATTTCTGCCATATGTAAAGTTGTGTAGCATTCAATGCAATAAAATCATCGTCTTACAGAAAGCCTTTGGTGTTGTCCTATTTCTATGCCAGAACTTTTTAAAATATTGTTACATGTTAAAAGTCAATATAGCATTACTACTCTGCGCTACTTTTCAGGAAACAAATGTCCAGAGTCATTTTCTCTAAAATTGTTTAGTATTTTTATAAATAGATTTTTAAACAGAATCCCCACATTTTAAAAATAGATTAAAATAATTTCAAAAAACAGTAAAATTGATAAAGTGAATAATAAAGTATTAATAATTTATCATTAGTCATACTCTATTTTATGCCCTGAAGAGCAATTTTGGTAACATATGTTTGGGAAGGAGAATACTAAAAGTGTCTTTATTGGATAAACAAGCAACCAGAACTATCTCCAGTTATCTTCATTTATCTCACAATAATGGTTGTGGTTTATATTTAGGAAAAAAAAATATATGACAAAGTGGCTTGAAATAGTAGGGAAAAAAGTGTCCAACTGAATCATTTAGTTTTCAGCATATGCTATTTTGTTATCTGAAGTTTTTTTTAAATCCTTACCTGAAGACACGTTTTCACTGATCTTTAGAGAGAGAAGTAGGAGAAAGAGAGAGAAAGAGAAACATCAATGTGAGAGAGAAACATCAATTGGTTGCCTGGTTGGCTCCCATATGTGCCCCAACCCGGGAATGAACCCAAAACCTAGGTATGTGATCCAACCGGGAATCAAACCTACAGTCATTTTAGTGTACAGGACAATGCTCCAACCAACTGAGCCACCCAGCCAGGGTTATTATTTGGAATTTTTAATAAAAAAAAATAATAACAACTAGTTTTTGTTTTGCTTTCATGAAAATTTCAAATATTTATATCAAGTTTACTAAAATATTAAGAAAATCATAAGCTAACCAGATTGACTCATACTTATGTCTATAATTTGATATAGTAGCTATATATGTAATAATTATGGAGTCTACTGTTAACAGTAGTAGCCTGAAACTGTATAGGAGGCAATGTATTTACTGCCATTTTTTTTGGAGTTTTCTGACATATTTTTCTCAAATTTTGCTCTAGCATTGCCTTCCTACCCTATTTTTTAACTTTTACTTCTACTGGATAGAAGTTGGAAACTTGGGCCTTGGCCAGTTTGGCTCAGCGGTTAGAGCATTGGCCTGTGGTCCAGAGAGACCCGGGATCGTTTTCCACTAAGGGCACGTACCTCGGTTGAAGTTTGTCCCCGGCCCTGGTTGGGTCGTGTGGGTGGCAACCACTCGATGTGTCCCTTTCACATCAATGTTTCTCTCTCTCTCTCTCTCTCCTTCCCACTCTATCTGAACAAAAAATGGAAAAATGTCCTCGGGTGAGAATTAAAAAAAGAAGTTTGGAACGTGGTTATGGAAGTTTGAGTGAGCAGAAAAATTGCTTGCAGGAGCAAAGCTTGTGAGGCAATGCCACTTGCCTGCCTTTTAGTCAAGAAGAGTGAACCCTGACTACAACCTTCCAGCATAGGTGTTTTAGGTTGTTTTGTCTTTTTCTTTTAGTTGAACTTAATAATTTGCAAAACCAATTACATTTACGACCTACAAAGAAGTTTTTATCAGGGTTTTGATTGCTCAAAATAGTTGAGTTCCTCAGAATAGTAGGCATGGCTGTTCAAACCATCATTGTCTAAATTAGTATTTTTTGAACTGTGAATCACAACCCATTAGTGGGTAAGAACTAAGTCATGGCCATCATTATTTAAAAAAAAAAATGCTAATAGAATATAAGATACCAGAGTGCATCACATAGAATAAGGTAAATACTGTTGCATAAAAAGTTGGTTTCATTTGCATAAATAAAAAACTTACATGTTTCCTGGGTCATAGTGTAAATGCATGTCTTCTTATGGCTCACATTTAAACAGCTTGATAGACTTACATATACTGACTCTTGGTTTACTTTGAATGTCAATAAATTTTAAGTATCAATTCTGAAGATGAAAAGATTTTTCATGTTAAAATATACATGCTTGGAGTGGCCAACGGCCTGCAGGACAACATGCCCAAGTTCTATTGTGACTACTGCGATACATACCTCACCCATGATTCTCCATCTGTGAGAAAGACACACTGCAGTGGTAGGAAACACAAAGAGAATGTGAAAGACTACTATCAGAAATGGATGGAAGAGCAGGCTCAGAGCCTGATTGACAAAACAACCGCAGCTTTTCAGCAAGGAAAGATCCCTCCTACTCCATTCTCTGCTCCTCTTCCTGCAGGGGCAATGATCCCACCTCCCCCCAGTCTTCCGGGTCCTCCTCGCCCTGGTATGATGCCAGCACCCCATATGGGGGGCCCTCCCATGATGCCAATGATGGGTCCTCCTCCTCCTGGGATGATGCCAGTGGGACCTGCTCCTGGAATGAGGCCACCTATGGGAGGGCACATGCCAATGATGCCTGGGCCCCCAATGATGAGACCTCCCGCCCGTCCCATGATGGTGCCCACTCGGCCAGGAATGACTCGACCAGACAGATAAGGAGAGAGGGGAACCTCTTTCTATCAATTTTATTTTACTTGTTCTACTTCACCAGGAGATCGTGGTACTGTGACTCTGGGTGTTTTCTAACAGTATGATAAGGAAGACTCACTCCCTCTTCCTATTTGAGAGAATAGTTTGGGAGGGGAGTTGTGGGACAAAACAAAAAAGCAATTTTCATTTGTATTGTGAAATGTGAAAATAAAATTGTCAGTTTTTTTAGTTAAAAAAAAAAATATATATATATACATGCTTTTATTCTAAACCTATTTATATGAACAAATTTACCTTGAAATTTTATATAACTTAAACCTTTACTTAATGCATTGTTTTGATAATATAACACAATGGATTTTAAAGAAAATCTGTCTGGTTTCCAATCCTTGATGAATCATTTATTTATAAGTCATGAGACCTTATAAGAGTTGTTTGACACCCCAATTTCCTCAGCTGTAAAATGGGACTTTATATTTATTTGGATGTTGTAGAGAATGAGATAAATTATCAAATGTAACTCAATGTCCTAAGTAAGCCACATTTGATCAACAAGGGAATAGTCAGGAAATTACTTAGTTTCCTTGTTTGTGGATTTCATCATGTTACCTGAAGTTTCAGATGAAAAGCTTTTTTATCATTTCAATCTATTGAGTGATCATAATCTTGGTGCTTGATTTTCTATAGCATTATCTGAATTAGCAGTAGCACAAAAAGTTGAAATATAAGCACACATAGTAAAATTTCAATAACAATCATAGATAATATTTGAAATCTTGATTTAACCAAGTACTTATACCTGAAGGAAACCAGCTAAAACATCAGCAGGAAACCAGAGGGTATTATTTAAAGACATTGGACCAGAGAGGTCCTGTGCTATTCTTCTAACTTTCTCAAGTTCTAATCCAACTTCACTAGAAGTAGTGATGAAGGAGCAGCAAGAGTTGTTGACTATGGTACAGATGCAGTCTTCTTCTGCAAGAAGATAATTGAGCATGATTTGATTATTTAATATAACCCTTGCTAAGGAATCCAAGGATCAGTGTTGTTAAACCAAGCCTCAATCAGTGAAGTTTGCTGATGCAGCTATGGTTAGGGAATAATAGTTCACTAGAAAATTATCTTTCCATTTGCCAACAGAAGTGCCCTCAAAGGAGGTAAAGACTCCAGCTAGGATTAAACAGATTCTAACAAAGTACTGTCTAGTCACCATTTAAGACTCAATAAAGGAAGTCACTAAGGGAAAATCCAAAGCTACCAGCTAATTAAGTGGACCTTCCTTAGCAAGGCGATGAGCATAAGAAGACAATTAACTATAATAATTTTCCAAAAACCTCACGGACATTAAACATATAAAATTTGGTAATATAGTTAATATTTCCAATTGTTTTATGTTACAAGGATAATTGATTCTTTATTTTACTTATGCAAATACCTATATTGTCAAGAAAAATAATAATATTTAATAAGAATCAGGTAAAGATAAAAAGATAAATGTATTATCTTTGTTTACAAAAGTATATTTTATCAAATTATGTAAGTCATATATGCTTAAGAGAAAAAGTTCCCTTAAGTTTGGAAAAGTAAAATATTTAAAAACAAGCATAAGAACTCACAAAAATTATGATCATGCTCATTAGTTCATTTAGTCCCCTCTAATCAGTTCTTGTTAATCTTGATCTTGAGTTAGCTTTATAAATCAATAAATTTTCCATTAAAGTTCTAGATTTTTTTTTTTACCCAATTTAGTGTTATGTTCTTAATGTTATCAGAAGCCTACATGCTAGAGTATTTGTCAGGATATTTTTCCATGAATCTTCTTGAAGTTGAAGCATTTTTGTAAGAACATTTTTGCAAAGCATCAGTAAAACAACTCTGTAAATGACAAAAGGCAAGAATAGCAAAGGTTAGAGATTTGATGGGAATTCATTATAATGCAATTGACAAAGAGCTATGGTTATTTCTGTGGCAGGTTGGATTCTAAATGTAATAGCTGGGATTATGAATGATAATGTTACACCAGGCCATATCAGATTTCCAGGAACCTCATAATTTCTAAAAAAATTATGACATATACCTATATAAATGTGACAAAAAGAAGGCTTATATTACCTGTTATCTGACAATACTTCCATGTAATTTAATATATGGAATAAGCCTGATCAGTTCTATAGAATAAGCCTGATTAGTTTAATATCTCCTTTTATTATTATTATTTCTTGTAAGGAGAGAGAATGGATCCTCAAAAAAACAACAATAAAAACAAAAAAAAAAAAACCCCAAACCAAAAACCAAAGTTAGTTCAAAGTCAAAAAGACTCCATTTTGATTTTGATTTTGAAGAAGTATGTAAAAAGAAAAATCAAAGGGGATTTAGCCAAAATGATTTAAAAAATATCAGTGGCAAGTATAGAAATTTCCATAGGTGCAAAAAGCCTTAGCTTTTTTAATAACAAGAAGATTCGACTCTTCTGTTCAATCAAAGATAAAGAGAAAACACAGAATCTTGTTTCTTAGGCAGATTACATTCTAAGCATTTAAACTTTGTTCTTTCAGTAGAGACAAAATATGAATTCAAATTTTGTACCCATATAGTTTTGATACTAAAATGTATTGCCCTGGCGGTATGGTTTAGTGGTTGGAGCTTCAGCCTTCACAATGAAGGGTGGAGGGTTCAATTCTCAGTCAAGGGCATGTACCTAGGGTGCAGGTTTGATTCCCTGTCTGGTTGGGGTGAATGCTGGAGGCAACCAATTGATGTGTCTCTCTCACATCTATGTTTCTTTCTCTCTCTCTCTCCCTCCCCGCTTCCACTCACTCTAAAAATTAATGGAACTAGGGGGGAAAAAGGAGAAACATCTGTAACAAAAATAAATTAAATAAAAATTGGAGGGAAAAAAATAATGGAAAAATATCTTCAGGTGAGGATTAACAAAAACAAACAAAAATGTATTTAGTTAATTTCATTTAAATTTTATCCAATTGACTATACATTAAAACATCATTTTAATAGTTTATTCACCTTTGTCTTATTATTTTCTTCTAATTCTAGCAATCATTTTACTTTAGGATTAAATTATTTTCTCAATTTCAAAAACTTACAAAAGTTATGTCGAAACAAAATGATGCATGGTAGTTGTTACAGAATAATTACAGATTTATTCTTGGAGGATAGCTTGATTGTCTGTGAATTACATTAAATGAATATAAACTCTTTGTATGTAATATAGTTAAAGTAAACCATACACCTTCTTTTAGAAATTACAGTAGGAGATTCACTCATATCTACAGGTTCATCTTAATATTGCTCTGCCATATTGGGAAGGATAAAAAAGGCAAGAACTTATATGCATGTATGCGTAACCAGTGGACATAGACAACAATGCTTGGTGGGGGGCAGGATAGAGAGGAGGATGTCTGTGGGGGTTGTGAGGGGAGAAACATCTGTAACAAAAATAAATTAAAAAAAAAAAAGGCAGGGGCAATAGAATCCCCACATTATTGATGAAGAGGGATGCTCTAAAGTTGAGTAGTCAGAAGCAAGATTTAAAAGGTGGGATAATAACTTCTAAACTGATGGTAAGGCTATACATATTTTGGAAGTTACTACCAGTATTCTCAGTCTTGTAAGTCGTTATTAGAAATGGGAAAAAAAAATTTTAAAGCTTGCTGCCTGGTTATGAATCTAAAAACACAAGAAAACAAGTGGGAATCTATCCAAGAGTCAATGGAGCCTAGCCTTGAGGAGTCATCATTACATATGTGTAGGACAGAAAGGGTGGTTGTTTTTATTTTGATCTTTTCAGCTGGCTGTATTGAGCCTTTTGTCACTCAACTCACTGTGGTATAAGAACAGTGCCCTTCAAACATGTTGATCATTCCACAGCAAGAAATACAGTACATATTATGGCCTAGCACATACTTACATATATTAAACCATATAAGCAACTGAAAAGAAGTTTAACAAACTGACATGTATTTTCTATTTTTAGCCTATGCCATACATGCATTTTATAAAATTACTCTTTTATTTAAATATAATAAATGATAATAAAGTTATCGATGAATTATAAAATTAGATACATATCATGTATTTATTTATTTTGATAATTATAGATATCATGCATTTTTAAATTTTAAATAAATGTGAATCATAATTTACCAATGGTCTGTGACTATAGTTTGAAAAACAAGAAGTTACAGCAAACCCTTTTGTGGTAGGAGAACACTTTCATGGGAGTTTCATTGCTTTTCATTTCCCAAAGTGGTGCTTATTTCTTTGCTTGCATTTTTTCAACATCAATGTACATAGTGTGCGCAGTTAATTTACTCTTATTGTTATAAGTGTTTTGGAACTTTCTCTTTAGTTCATTTTGTATTTCCAGCTTTTTTTTTCATCCTTTTAAATTATTTGAAATATTTACTTTCTGGTAGAAACTGGAAAGCAAGAGATTGTAAACTGTTTATCATGTATTTGCTTTCTGCAATAGACTAGCAAACTTATAATACATTTCAAAACTTTAGAAATATATTCTTCCTTATAAAATTATGTATATATTTTAATATGGCATAAAACATGTCTATTAACAGACCCAAATTTTAAAAAACTACTAGGTTTTGACAATTATGCTTAGATTAGATATTAAATAGTTAACCACCATCTTTAGGTATTTTTCTTGTTGACAAATTTTGAAGATATGCCTCCTTTTTTTGAACCAACAAACTTAAACTACCTTTTAAAAAAAATCTCACCTGAGGATATGTTTTCGCTGCTTTTAGAGAGAGCAGAAGGGAGAGAGAGAGAGAGATACAGTGATGTGAGAGAGAAACATTGATCAGTTGCCTCCCTTCCCCCACCAGGGATCAAATTGCAACCTAGGTATGTGCTCTGACTAGGAATCAAACCCTCAGCCTTTTGGTGTATGGAAAGATGCTCTAACCAACTGAACCATTAGGCCAGGACTAAACTAGCTTTTATGTCACAAATATTATCCATATCTTAGGTACAAAATGCAAATGGCCAAAATTTTTTTTAACTAAAAATATTTATTTCCGTGATATAAGGA